TAGTGTGGTGGTGTAAACACGAGAGTATAACCTCAACCTTTAGCCATCGTCACCACCACTGACAGAATGTTCGCAACAATGTACACCTTGCACTTGGTCCAAAAACACACTTATAGTCGGTGTCCAACACGGGGATGTCGTACAATCTGCAAGCTTCCTACAACGCGCCTTTTCGCTGTCGACTGGATAGTGTATTATCCGGTCGCTCTTTGCGATATTTAGCGTTGCCCATGGCAATCAGGGCGTTCGAATGCCAATCTAGTCCAGCTCGTCTAGTAGCCTGGGGAACCACCGCACGTAGTTGTCCTGGGTGAACCTCCAATGGTAATCCTTTGGCTCCTGGAGCGTTGACTTCCCACCAGTAAAAATGTCCAGCGCCAGGACTTAACTGTAGATGGTGGAGGAGTCATGAATAGCAGCAACAAAGCAGTATCTTCGACTTTTGTGCTTCTCGCTTGCCACAATGTCCAATCTGTCCAACGGGTCGTACAAGCTGTGGTTAGGGCACTTGTAGTGGTGGTGGATGTACTACTCGTCTGTTTGTTGAAGTGCACGATGTGGTGTTAAGAGATGGAGCTACAACTGTGGCTGATCCCGACGACAAGTACTCTCGCCACAAGTCTTGACAACATCCAGGCAACGACCGAGTGACTCGGACTCTTGACGTGCTGCAGCCTTGGATTTTTGTCCTGTGAACTATGCTTGCAGCTGGAGAATGCCAAGTCCTTCTTCCCGAGTCATTGTGCGATGACGCGCGGCTTCGATTGAAGTAGTCATGAGTGCGATTAGAGTTATGAAGTTGCGCATGGATTTGAGCTAGAGTTCGACTCCATTTTTGTTTTGTGTTGACAGGGTATAAGATTTAATTTGTTCTCCATCATGACCGTGACATACACCCTGAAACTGAATATTCATTTTGTTGTGTGTTTTTACAGGTTATGGAGTGTCAGGATGAAAATTGACAAACTGCAATTTTTATGTGTAGCATATCTCAAATGGTATTTGATTTTTTGGAATTTAGCTTATAGAGGTGTATTGTGCTCAACTTTTCCAATGCATCGAACAAAACCTCGCATGAATTCAACTTCAACGCATATTGACCGAGATATTGGAAAAAGACCGTGCTATCGCAAACTGTAAAGGTAGCACACCGCTGGATAATTGAGTATAAATTGGAAAGTGATTAATTAACTCGAGGTAAAGCTAGATTACGAGAATGTTTTCTTTCTAGAGATAATGCAACGCTAGGTTAATATGGCTTCCATCAGCTGTCACTTGCGCAAAGCTCATGTAACATGCAGAATGGGCAGGTTTGGTATGACGTGGCCTAAAGGCGATATTTCTATTGATTGATCAAATATTTCACGACGATGTGGCTACAACATTCCTCTCTAATCGTGATGTTCTTGGTTGTTCCATGAATAGATGGAGGTGACAATTCGCGCCTTGTGTTTTTCGAACTTGGGTCACGGCAAAGCTTTCGTAAGCATATCGGCAAACTCGAGTTGGTTTCGCAGTACTGGATCGTGATGGTACATTGCTTGACGAGTTCACGAATGAAATGGTGGCGCACTTCCTTGTCTTGGTGGAGAGCTGAGTTTTCGTCCATGGAGATGTACTCGGCTTCGGAGGTTGAGAAAGCGACGATGTTTCGAAGCTTGGGCTTTCAACGGACTAGGCATCCATTGAGGAATATGAAGTAGCCAGACGTTGAACGACGAGTTACCTTGTCGTTGGCGTAGTCGGCATCAACGTAGAGTTCGAGCGTAAAGGCTTCATCGGAGGACTTCTTGCAAAGCATGCCAAAGTCTTGAATCCCTTCAAGTAGCGTAGGACGCACTTGGTGATTTGGTGAAGCTCAGGAGCTGGATCGTTGAGATATCTTGAGAGCAATGTCACAGTCTACGCTATGTCGGGGCGCGTGGTCGTGGTGAGATAGAGTAGTTCGCCTACCTCATTGCGATAAGGCAAACGAACGTTCGAGACAGCGGAGGAGGTACGAGCGGCAGGATGCCTAGCGCCTTGAGGCGTTGAGATTGTGTTACAATCAGTGTATTTAGCAAGTATATCCGAGACATACTGCTGGTGCAAACGAATGGAACCATTTTGAAGTCGTGTAACTTCAATTACTAGACAGAGAGTAAGGGTGTGGTGAAGCGGGCAGAAGGTCAAGCTTGATTGCTTTCAGCAGTGGAGTGATCTTGGACAGAAGGATGAAATCGTAACATTCACGCCCACCAAAACCAAACCATCTGTCGACTGTTGAAAGTAGATGCATGGTTCAGTTTTGAGTGGTGCTTGCGACCGAAAGTACGAATCGAGGGCGGAGTTCCATTCACGGGAAAATTGCTGAAGGCCGTAAATACTTTTGTTGAGACGGCAAACGAGGTGTTCTTGGCCAGCTGAATATGCAGGTGGTTGGCGCATGTGGAATGCTTCTTGTAGTGTACCATTCAAAAAAGATGTTTGAACCTCCATGTAGTATGCTTCCAAGGAGTGAATGGTGGCGAAAACAAGGAGGAAATAATTGTGCAAAGATGACTGTGCAGTCAATACCAGCATTTGTGTGAAACCTTGAGCAACGAGACGAGCTTTGAAACGGTAAAAGATCCATCGGCGGCGTATTTCGTGGAGAATAGCCAACGGCATCCAGTCGTTTTTCGACCATGAGGGGGTTTGCGAAGAGTTCAGATACCATGTTGCATCAGGGAATCATACTCGGTATCGGTGGCTTTGATCAATTCGTTGTTGTCAGTTGATGAGGGAGCTTGACGAAGTACAGTTGACAAACCAGTTGATTGAAGGACATGGCGACGAGTATACGTTAACGTTAGGCATCTTGAGAGTCCTTATCGGTAGTGCCGTCGTTAAATGAATTTCAACGAGGGCGATGACGAGGAGATGCATCCAAGAGAGGAGACGTATCCATGTCAGCAGAGTCTTCGAGGTGGATAGAATGCTTGAGGCGGAGCAGGTGGAGCAACGACTTCAGATAGAGAAACTGGGCGAGGAGCAGCAACGTGAGACGCTGAAGGTGGAGCAGATGGCAAGGTAGAGCCGACGGCTGCTGTAAGTTCGCTCAAGGGGAGAATCGTTTGGCAAATTGGGTACAGGTGGAGCAACGCTGGAGCGGCATCAGAGTCAGAATCCATAAAGCGTGTAGGAGGACGACTAATGCGACCTGAGCGACGAGCAAGGGGATCAAATTGCGAAGAAGCGTTAAGTGGAGGAGGCTCGTCGTCGAAGATATTTCTATCTGCTTGCACCAGCAAAGAGGGAGAAGGAGTAGCAAGGAAGAAACACATGGCTTCATTGAACACAACGTTTCGGCTTACGATGATCGCTTAGCAACAAAAATGCGCAAACCTGACAAGTCAGGACGGAGCATCGATTTCGAGTCAAAGGATTGGCAATGTCCAAGAAATATAAGTTGTTCCGGCACACTCCAAAGGCAAAGACCTGGTCATCACGTGTAACGTTGCAATCGGCTTCAGTTTGACGTCGTGTTTACGTGAACACGACGTCAAACTTCGTGCTGGTAAGGCGGGAGAAGGAGAACAGGTTGAATTGCATTTCCGGAATAAACAAGACATCGCTCAGGACAACGGGAATGACGCCAGAATGGGTGTCAATATCCAACAGTAGATACCCTCGACCTTTTATCGTCATGTCGCTGCCATTTGCATGACGCACTTTGCCATGACAGGAGCGGAGTTATTCATACTAAGCAGCGTTGTTGCAGTCATGATTAGATGCGCCAGAATCCATAATCCATTCCGAGGAGACCTCAGGATGTGGAGCGGAGGATTGCAATGCGAAGTACCTCACATTGTCAAACATACTGACATACTGATATGGTTGGTAGAAGTCTACGCTTGGCGCTGCGATTGGGGCCAAACGAAGAAGGAGAGGATGAACCACTGGGGCGCTCCGACGAGACAGGTGCAGCAGAATCTGCAGGCGGTACGTGTTGTTCGGGACGCGGCGTGGCCCACTGTAGGAATGCTGCCGGTCGGCACGATTGCGTATGTTGCAGCTACTACAGACGACGGCGGGGTGCATCATGATTGCCGTGACGGGAGAAGGATCATTCGACGCAAAGTTGTCGTTAATGGTACATCCGAAGATCCATAAGAACTTCGGATCTCCTTTAAATGAGTACAGTAAACAACTTGGGTATTGTCGTGTCATCGATAACTTTGCCGCTTGAACGACATGGGCTTGAAGGTTGAGGCAGTTTAGAAAATTTGAACTTGGAGTTGGTCGTCCATAGTCATCACAGCATCGATTACTTCATCCAGATGAATCTAGAAGCCATCGCACAGGCTAATTTTTTGTGGCGGGATCGAATCTCCATCAGATTGTGAAACAGATAAGATTCGCCCATAAAGGACATGGTGCCGTAGCGATCGCTTTGGAGCTTCAACATGGTCGCAGCAATCGGTTGCTTGGAAACCATACCTGCGTCGCGTCGTGATAATGGCGCGGGCAAGACGAATGTTGGAAATAGAGTCAGCATGAGTAGAGACATAGTGCTGCCGAAAACTTCAACGACTTCCTTGAACTCGAGATACGGCTAGAAAATGAATCTGGTTTACCGGTCTCGTGTGTGATTAGACGAAAGAAAGGCAACTTGGGGGGGCATCTCTAGCATCGGTACTTGGTTACCATGGCTTCGTGAACATTTTTTCCACTTGCAACCGCATTTGGGGAATCGTCGTTCCGTTCGAGTCATTATCATCACGAGAAAGAATTCATCATGTGGACATTCCATGGCGATATGAATGTGTGCTATTGCAAGATGACGGTAATCCCTCATCCAGACTACAGCAGCGACGGTGCTTTTTGCGGAAGTCAACGACTCTCCACAACGCCTTGCTGGGTGGCAAGTGCTCTCAAGCCTCGCCAGAAGAGCAACTTCTGTGACAGAGTGAAAAACATCTTTGAACACTACCGATGTCCCACTAGCGGCCACCACGATTACCTCGGCAGTGCCAGCGATGCAGCGTGCCTTTTCAGCGTTGCGACGTGCTATCTTTGCCTCGGTTCGAGGCAGTGTCAAGGCGGCGTCGGTGGACTGGGCCACTGGCAATTGCGTCAACCCCGTGCGCAACCAAGGCCAGTGCAGATCGTGCTGGGCCTTCTCGGCCGTGGGTGCCGCGGAGACGGCGCACTGCATCGTGACGAAGGACCTCCTCGACCTGTCCGAGCAGCAAGTGACGAGCTGCTCCACCGAGAGTGGCAGCGACGGGTGCAACGGCGGGTGGCCGTTCGCCGCCATGACGTACGTGTCGACGACCGGACTCTGCTTGGAGCGCGACTACCCGTACACGTCTGGCAGCACGAGTGTAACCGGCTCATGCAGCAGCGACTTGTGCACCAAGCAGCAGCTCAGCATCGGCGAGACCGTCCGCGTGAAGGGTGAGGCGGCGCTGGACGCGGTACTCAACACGCAGCCCCCGTCGGTGCTGGTCGAAGCGGGCAACTACGTGTGGATGAACTACGAAGGGGGTGTGATCACGCACTGCCCCGGGTCGTACTCGGACCACGCCGTCGTCGCCGTGGGCTACGACGAGGGCTCGTACAAGCTCCGCAACTCGTGGGGCGCGGCCTGGGGCGAAGCCGGCCACATCCGCGTCAAGCGCGGCGTGAGCGGCAAAGGCGCGTGCAACGTTGCCGAGGACGTCGTGTTCCCCAAGATCGAAGGCAGCACGCCCACCACGTCGCCGTCCCCCACGACCAAGCCCACCCCGACGACTCCTCAACCGGACGTGTGCGCCGACTGCATCGGGTGCTTCTACCCCGCCGGGAATGAGTGTTTGCCCGCCAACTACACCAAGGACGACTGCGACTATTTCAGTGCTATCTTTAGCACGGTTTGGTGCGATGAAATTCCTGCTCCAACCATCGAGCCCATCCCGACGACTATTCAACCAGACGTATGCGCCGACTGCACCGGGTGCTTCAACCTTGACGCGAACAAGTGTTTGACTGCCGAGTTTACCAAGGATGCCTGCGACTACCACAGTGATAAGTTTGGCACGGTGTGGTGCGGTGACAGCCCTACTCCTACTCCCAAGCCCACCTTAAGTCTTGGCTGTGGCACGTGCGACGTGTGTTACGATCCGGCCGCTGACCAATGCTTCGAAAGCATCAGCAAGAACGACTGCCAAGCCTCGGCCTTAACCAAGGGCTATTTGTGGTGCGGCAAGTGATTGGTAAAGCCTTGCCGCCTGCGTGCATGATCGTTTGTGTGTCGCCGCCGTAGGAGTTAACTCTCTCGAATATTGCCGTCATGATCAGCTGCTCGAGTCGGATTCTCGGCTTCGAAATGAATCCG